CCCCAAAACCCCAAAACCCCAAAACCCCAAAACCCCTTTTTCAAAAATATAGCAGAATAAATATACTATTATATAATAAAGACTTTACGTAATGGGTTTACTCAATAAGGTTTTCTACAGGATCGGCTTAGGAGTGACAAGACATCCTTTCATTGTCTTCATTTCAGCCTTCCTAATAACCGCTCTAGCAGGACTGAGTTTTATCAATTTCAGAGCAACTGACGATCCTCAAGAATTGTGGGTCCCCAAAAGTAGTCGTGCTAATCTTGAGCAAGAATACTTTAAAAGTCATTTTGGATCATTTTTCAGAATTAATGAAGCTTTCTTCTCTCCAGCTGATGAGTCTAAGGATACTCAGGATATCTTTAGACCATCATACCTCCACTTATTATACTATTTCCAGAAAGCTGTAGAGGATGGTATTGTTGAGAAGGATGGTAAAAGTTATACGTTTGACGATTTCTGCTACAAGCCAATAGCCGGCAAACCTTGTCTGATTACTTCACCAATGGGATTCTGGAAGATGAACCAGACAGCCATACCTACCACAGCTGAACAAGTTAAGATTGATGCTCAATGTATCCCTCGGCCAGACCAGACTGGAAGAATTTGCTTTGATAGAACGGGAGTGCCAGTTCAGGTCGGTGCAATTTTTGGAGGAACCACTTGTGTAAAAGATGATTCTCAGCCTTGTGCTCCTTGTAGGATAGATGCATCAGCCTATATGGTCACCTTTCTATTGAACAATAATGACTATTCAAATCCGGTTGCTGAAGAGTGGGAGAAGAATGTGTTCCAACGCAATGTTAAAACTTTCAATTTATTTGCAGAATATCATACCGAGCTTCCCCCAGGAGTTGACGACTACAACCAAACCCTTTATGATCAACTCAAAAGTGTCTACGAGGGGGATCAGAATGAGAGCATGCTGAAATTAAAGATTGATTATCTCTCTGAAAGATCTATTCCGGACGAATTGGGTAAAATTGGAGCCCAAAATCAATATGTAATCATGATCTCCTACCTTCTCATGTTCATTTATGTAGGAATGGCTCTTGGATATTTCCCAAGTTTAGTTCACAATAGATTCTTACTTGGATTTACAGGAATAATAGTTGTCCTAATGTCTTTGGCTATCGCTATTGGTATTACCTTCTTCATGAATATCCCACTGAGTCTAATATCAACCGAGGTCGTGCCGTTCCTTATTTTGGCTATTGGTGTTGATAATATGTTCATTATTGTAAGAGCGGAGCAAGAAGTATCAGATAAAGCCGACCCAGAAGAAAGAGTCGCACTAGCTTTGAAAGAAGTAGGGCCAAGTATCTTCACTGCTGCCTTCTGCGAATCTCTTGCTTTCTTCGTTGGAATGTTGACCAGGGTGCCTGCTCTTGAATCCTTCTGTTTAGTTGCTGCTCTTGGTATCATGGCTGACTTCCTCCTTCAGATTACATTCTTCTGTGCTGCACTTCACCTTGATGCTAAACGAATCAGAGCTGGCAGATGGGATATTATCCCTTGCATGAAATCAAGAGAAAGAAAAGGACCAAGAAAGCCGATCGTTAGAACTCTTTTCCAAAAGTTCTACGTACCTATTCTCTTCAATAAGAAGACTGAGATGATAGTTTACTTCATCTCAATCCTACTTCTTGGACTTGGGGTAACTGGATGAGTTCTCTTAGATCTGGGTCTGAATCAGAATGTATCATTGATCACAGATTCTGACACTTATGATTTCTTCAACACATTTACGAAGTATGGAGAAGCAGGACCACCTGCTTATCTTGTGTTCAAAAATATTGATTATAGAGATGATGAAAATATAAACACTCTCGCTGATATTGCTGATGGACTTTCTCAGCTCAATGACACTGTGATTAAACCTGTCTACTCTTGGGTCAAATCCTTCCAACAGTTTACAACTGACGGAGAATGGGCAGACACTTGTGGCTCCAAAGCAGCTATGAACCTTGGATTTGATGATGCTATGCGAGAATTCGTAAAAATACCAATTGATAGTGACTGATGTAACTTATATGGTATATGTGGAGAGCAATATGTTGGAGATATTGTTTTTAACAATGATGGAAAGGTTATCTCAACAAGATTCAGGTTCCAGCACACAATGACTCATAATGATGATGACTACATCAGAGGACTTACAGAGACTAGAAAAGTTGCTGATAGTTATGCGGGTAAACTGCACACAGTTGATGAACTTATTGATCCTGAAGGAACATTCAAGGGAGTCAAGCCTGTATTTGCATACTCTCTCTTCTATGTCTTCTACGATCAGTACACTTACATTAGAGGAATCCTTGTTGAAGATACTTTACTAGCACTTGCTGCTGTTCTTCTAGCTATTGAGATCATCACAAATGTCTGGATCGGACTATTTGTTGTACTCTGTGTGTTCTTAGTTTCGTTCGAACTCCTCGGTGTTCTTTGGCTGTTTAATCAGATCTTTGGTGGCTTCCAAATCCAACTAAATGCAGTAACAGTTGTCAATATTGTTATGGCACTAGGATTCAGTGTTGAGTTCTGTGTCCATATTGCTATTGCATTCAACAGATTCCATGGAACCAAGCTTTCAAGAGCCAAGAGAGCTATTTGGCACATGGGAAGCTCAGTATTGGTAGGAATTGGCTCGACAAAGTTTATCGGAGTCATTGTGCTTGCTTTCGCACCATCAAACCTTTTCAGGCTCTACTACTTCAGAATGTACTTCTCGATCATCATCCTTGGATTATTCAATGGTTTAATGGTGATTCCATTACTTCTGAGTAGATTTGGCCCTGAACCTCAGACAAAGCCAAAACCAAAGCAAATTTAGTGTCAATAATCTTTATTCACAGAATTTCAACAAATAATTTATAAACCGGGGTTTTGGGGTTTTGGGGTTTTGGGGTTTTGGGG